TATATATATCCATATATCCTCTCGCTGCTTCCATTCATGTCAACCGCTCAGCGACAACAGTCCTCTTGTTTTTCAGTTGATTTTCCCAAAATGATTATTTGTACATATTAGACAGAAATTGTTCGCGCGTCCTGTTGCGGATGCTGATGCTATTGAGCTGTATATTCTCGATTAGTATTCCTATAGATAAACGCCACTTGTTCAGGGAAATAATGCCAGACGAAAGGTACCGTCTCGTTGTACTCGGTTCAGCAAAAGTTGGTAAAACATCATTGATTCGACGATATCTCTACGGTGAATTCTCTGACAAATACAAAGAAACAATTGAAGATCTTCATTCAAGAGATTTTGTGATTCAGGTTCGTTTGAACTAAATTTGTTGCTGCTGTACCACATTAGCAGAGAAACCGTTCAAATCAAAAACAGCTTATCAGTTTATTCTTATTTGCATTACTTCATAAAATGCATCGCATTTGATGGAACAGTGAGCGGAACTGACCCAGATCTTATTTGCTCGTCAGCCAAGCAAGTAGTTACCACATCCCAAATAACCTTACTGCTCTTTGATGTTCATTCATTCGGATGAAATGCTTTCACTGCTTGATGAACTGCCTATAAATCAAATCTATCATTATGATATGCAATTAATTTCTTGACGAAGTCTTAATCAGTTGATTAGATCAGGTTCGTTTAAAAGGTTGCTCACCATTGAAGGTTATTCAAATTCGAACAATCCATTAATCTCGCACAGTGACTGAACTATTTCTTAGCGGTGCAATCGACCCATTTGTTTTCATAATGTTCGTACTTCACCAATTTAGCAGTTTTCAAACAAGTCGATCGCAGTATTTTAATACAACGATCACTCGCCTCTATTCATATTGATGCTTTAAGGGTGAACGCTTATCACTAGATATACTCGATACAAACTTCAACTTTCCCGACATGCGCAAACTTGCCATTGCATCAGCAGATAGCTTCTTGTTGGTTTTCGCTGTCGATGACATACAAAGCTTCAAAGAGGTATTGAATTTTCAGTCGATTCTAATGAATATGTATCGCAACACTGAAAAATGCAAATGAACCGTTTTTCATCATCAGCACCGAACGCGCATTGAACATCGGCATAGATCAATCAGAGGAAAGATGAAATTTGTAATATTTTTTCATAGCGAAGAAAAGTATTTATGAGATTGCTATGGGATTGCTGGAGGAGTAATGTTTATGAGACAAGCGAAAAAATGATGAATGAATTGCTATGTGAACGTATGATGATGGTAATTATAAAGTGCAAAATGCATTTTTCACTAAATATGTCGTGAATTCAAAATATCTATTGTAGCATTTGAATAACTATTCATCAACGTATCTGTCTATCTGCCTATTAATCTGATATTGTTTGCTGAACGTTTCCTCGATTGCACGTCACCTAGTTGCAAATCTTAAGCTGAACACATGAGCACACACACATAGACTCAACTATAAATATGATACGAAGCAAATTTGTATTTGTTCGACAACATCGTTCGTGCTAATTAAGAGTCGTTTGATAATGCTGCTGCTGGCATTATCAACTATTATTGCACCAGCTTCATTCAACAACTCAATTTGTTTAATGAATAATCTTTCAGTTAGTTTCGTTCAGCACTATCTTTTTCTATACTGCTACTTCACTCATTGTCTCATTAAAATTTGCCCATATTTATCCGCACTCTCCTCTAACCGAACAAATAAACTTTCATGCCACAATGCGCGTAAACCTGCCTTCTTTGGATTGCAATAATTCATTAAAATTCGTTTGCAAAACTACATAATAGCACAAAAATACTGAAGTTTGAATCAGTTTGTCAGTATCTCATATCAGTTCCTTTCATACTCACATTCTTGCTGATTCCAACCGAATGAACATTTTCAAGTGGATTTAATTTTTAATTTGATTCTAAAACAGTTTCAGATTCAGTGTACATTTTCATAGAAGATCAGAGATATTTGATAAACTTAATCCTTTACTTAAACTCATCATGTGGCGTCGTTCATTCTTCGAGATTATGACTTACCTGGATTACCTGGATTGGCCAGGCTATCAAACGTTTGTAACGTTGCTTGCCACAATGCTCGCGTTTCCGTTCGCACTGTTTCAGCCTTGATTGACGCCACCCCGTTGGCTAGGCGAGCAGGCCAAGTTAGCACAACCGAGTATTTAATTAGTTGCCGTGAATACTTTGCACAATTAAACGTAGCCAAATACCAATCCGATAAATAATCATAACTCTACAAAATAAACATTCCGCCGATCGCTAACAGCGATCAACAAAACAACCGCTCGATGTGTAAGTAACAAGTAATAATAAAAATAATCACACTCACCATATTAAAATTATGACTTATTGAGTGAAAATGAAGGAATTTGTTTTTGGTGAAGCAATAAAAGAAATGAAATGGCCACCATTACTGAGTGTTTGCATTTACTGAACTGATTTTATGTTATGTTGGAATTGTGTGGTTTGAGTGAGTATGGTTCGCAAAATGAATTAAAATTTGTGAAGGAAAAACTGAAAGTTGAATGAAAAACGACGGATTCATTGCTTAAAGTGTTTATTTTTTAGATTAAAATTTATTTATTCACTTGGTTGCGATTGCAAGAGAATGATTACACTTTTTTAAGAAGTATTGCTGTGAAAATTGCTATTTTAAGATAAATGAATAATTATCAGATGAGTGAATTATGGAGTGAAATTTGTGAACGACGTGCCGATATTCGCCAGATGCCGACTGTTATCGTTGGTAACAAGAGAGATGTTTCATCGAAGAAGGTGCATAGTTTTCATTCCTAAATGTAGTTGTTTTTTCCCGCATCAGTCCTTGCTGCTGTTGCTGCTGCTATCCAACATAAATTTCACCCATTCATGCACTACTGCAGATATATGAGGCTACGGCATCAGCGTGGACATCCAGATTAAATGCGAACATCCGCTACATAGAAGCGTCCGCAAAAACGTCAGAAAACGTCATATCCATATTCAGAAATCTTCTCGAACTCAGCAACTTCCCGAACAACAACCGAAATGTGAGTATTCGAGTAGCTCTTGCAACATTTTTATACAAGCGTAATATTTATTGACAATGCGTTCCTTGTCTCGTAGATAAATACTAGCTTTAATCATAACAGTCGCATATATGAACAATTTTCGTAAAACTCAAGGCTGTTCCTGCACAGTACAATGGACAGTTGGAAATTGCTGCCTTGCAATGTAATAAATGCAGGGACATCGACATCCTTTCTCATACGCCTCACAGATGTCCCCACACACATGAAAAAAAAAACATGAAAAATACACGAAATCAAATTCACCTCTAAAATCAGATAAATTTAGCATCAACGGCATACATTTTAATATTTCAAATAATTTGTTATAATTTTCCGTTTTTCTTTATTGACTGTCGTTTCATTGCTCGATCTTCGTTAGTATTTGATCTATAGCATTGAATGGTAACCGTATTCATTCAGTTTGTTGCAAATGTATATTATTTCGTATGATTTTCACTACTGTAATATGCGGAACAGATGTGCTGCTGTTTCAATTTTTGAACCCATTCAACAGATAAATAAATAAGTGCATTCTATTGTAAGAACTGTAGGAATAAAAATCCAAAAATACCATTAAGGTAATTACATGGAAATTCTTGGAGCAGTAAATCAAAGAAAAGAGTATTTGAAGAAACTATAAGTAATGTTTCACAGCAAACTGTGATGAGTTTAAAGCATGAAAAATGGTTAATTGATTGCAGATAAGTCGAAAATGTGGTGGGTCTGTTGAGGGTGGCTCGGTGGATGACAGCACTAAATTGCAACAACACCATGTCGCGTTATCGTGCTCTCTTTCACCATCTATCGCAAGGAGCTCAAATAATGACTTGAAACGAAATCGCTCGCTACGGGTTCGTTGCTTTTCCGATAAGGTTGTTCTTAAGTGCACGTATTGATGATGACTGATGAGAATCATTATTACTTTAGACAACACATCAGATGTCTCAGCTTCGTGTTGATTAATTGTGTAAGTTGATACAAATAAAATCAATTTGGTGATCTATTTTCTAAAAAAACTCCAATCAAAAATTGTAGGTGAAAAGCACACAACAAAAGAAGGATCATCTCGAGAGACGAACTAGCGACGACGAAATGAAATCACTGGAACGTTCAAGTAGTCTGATACGAAGAACCAAGCACCTTTCGTTCAGAATCCGCGCTCACACGAATCGTGCTCTGGAAGAGACGAACAATGACCAAAGCGATTGTAGAATCACCTAACAGCACATCACTTCATCCTAATCAACTAATACACATCTTTTAGGGCTCTTTCCACTTCTTCAATTTTTTTTCAACAATTCATTCATTCAATTGTTATTGCTGCTATTGTTGTTACCAGTGATGCCTAATTTGACAAAATTGACCCAGCTCCGGTTCCGCATTTTTCAAAAGTCCAGCTTCAGCTCTGTATTCTTTAAAATTTCGGCTCCATATCCAGCCCCAGCTCTGTTGGTCTCCAGCTATACAGATTATTTGGAGGATCACCTTAGCGATAGAGATAGGTGATACTAATGATAACAGTGCATACGTGTTGGAGCTGAACTGGAAAGGATGATGCTTGCATCACTCTTGTACCTAATAAACTATCCAACTGATATGAACTCTCTTCCATTGAATGTTTCACCAATTTCGAAAAGTACAGTCTACTGTAGCCCAATTTGTGGCTACGGCTTCAGCTCTTCACTTTTCAAAATTTCTGCTCTGGTTCCGCATTTTTTAAATCCTCGGCTCTGGCTCCAGCTCCGAAATCTTCTCTGTTTCCCGCCGGAGCAATTCGGGTCCCCACCCCTTCCCCCCCCCCCCCCAAAAAAAAAACTATCATACAGGTCTTAGTTCCGACTACTGAACGTTCCTGTAATATTTTTTAAAGGAGTTTTTGGGCTCCAAAGCTTAGGCATCACTGGTTGTTACTATAAACGTTCAATGCGCTTTAATGCGAGCGAGATGCAAGATCGATCTCTTTGTTATTTCTTGTGATATCATGTATATTTTCTCTTGCAACTCTTCATCACACAACCAGTGCAATCAATTACAACCAACCGAATACATTCATTGGATGATTAGAACGTGAATTTATGTATTAGTGCAGAGGAGACGATTACTGCTGATAAACTCTTAGACGAAAAGGTTTTCTTTTTGCGTTAGGTAGTAGACGGCAAAAATTGATTAGCATTCATTCATCCATTAATTTTGAAGATGTTTCAGCAAAAGGGTTGTTCGATGCGACGAACAAATATTATAGCATAAATGTATTGATTATGGCTTCGTTCATTCGACAGTCACCGAAAAGCGAACAATTTTGTGCAGAAACAATTCATCATAAGCTTGGCATTTGTTTTTGACTGGAAAAAGGTCTGTTTGGAATGACCGAACCACCCAACCTCCGCCTGCATCAATTACGCTTATCATTAAGACAACGGCAAATTGTCTTGCTTTTTCGATGCATACATTGTCCTCCTGTTTGCTGTTTTCATGTTCTCTTCGCAAAATCAGCAGCCAACTAGTAGTGGACGATGATTGTATTCTATTTATTGATTGTGAATTTATACGTAAGGGAGACGACAATCATAGTGAACAAGATAAAAATCAAAAAATTTACAACTTTAACTTGTAACGTATCATTTTCGCACATCTACGAAATATGCGCACTCGGTCTACGTGAACACTTAGTTAATTGCTATTTCATTTCTTTCTTTTTTTCTATTTTAGTTGTACCCTTTTCATGTGAAACTTTCGACACGAATCAATTCGATCTCATCATTATTGTAATGTGAGCATGAAATGTCTTATTAAAATTCTGTATAATGCATAATGCTAACATAATTGAACAACAACAGCAACAATAATTATAATAGTAATGATAATAATAACAAACAATAACAGTAATAATAATGACAATTAATAACAATAATCATAACCACAAAAAAGTAAAAACTGCCACTATAACAACAAAAAAATTTACAGATGATCTGCCACGTACAAGGGGAATATACGTCTGAACGAGCATTTCGGATTTACTCAAAAGATTGTAATACAAACGAAAAAAGTATATACTAGTCGGAAATGGTTTTTAAAAAATAATGAAAAAGAGACCAGATTATCCGATAGTTTCATGAGAACAGCTAAACATTTCAACAATATTTGAGTGGTACAAAGTGCGCATAAAACAAGATTCGTTGGATACCGGCAACACAGCAGCATCATCCAGTTCAGTGGTTCATTGATGAGCGATTGGTTCTTTTTGAATTAGACGAATGAATGAAGACCCCCTCCGCGACTCATTTCGATAGTCTAATACAACACGTCGTATCTGCGTTCAGGGAGACGACTTAAGAGTTTATTCCACAGATATGGTGAGAAATTCAAATGTCAAAGGGTAAGGGACAGAGAGTAATAAAGAAGAACCACTGATCCATTCAATTCATTAAACATTTTCAGATCACTATAAACAAACAACAACAAAAACAAGACGCGATCGATCAATAAGTGACTTCACTTCCACTTTTAATCTTTCCAAATTCATTCGTTATTCGAAGCAATAACAATTACTCTCGTGTATCATCAACCAGTGCTTCTGAAAATTTGGTATATTCGTTAGAATAAACATATACGTAATTTATTTGTTGACGATTAAAAAAATACTGTGAATACCCAGCTATCTATTTCAAAAATCTACAACAATAACGTCAACATCAACTGAAATACGTCCACTCACTCATTAAACCGATACTTCCATAACTCTTACTAATATTTTGCGTCTCTACAATCTTCCCCTCCACAAAAAACAACTACTTGTATCCTCCTACAGCTAAGACTGGAAAAAGATAGATGAAACATTGGCATTGCGAAATATGGAGCCAAAAGGCTGAATTAACCTTTTTGTTTGATGGCATGCTTCAAACGAGTTTGTTTTGCGGCACTGATCGGTGCATACGGATAAACTTTCGTTACCGTACCAACGGCTTTTGTACGACCCTCACGAAACACCATTCTTGAGCCGACACGAATATATTCGGGATTTCTGATGAAACGGAACGTCACCGAATCACGATCACCGGTCCGTAACACTTCTTTGGTCATTTCAATGATTGTCGCCGTCTGTCGTATTGATCCAACATGCACTACAATAAAGTGAAATCAGTCAACTGGCAATAATATTTTCTGATCGAATTATTGTTCATTATGGGACACAGTTTCTAGTTGCAAAAACATTGTATTGAAGAGAAAAAAAAAACAGAACATTAAAGTGATAAATACTCGCCCATTGCTTGATAATTTTTCGCAATCGTAGTTGGGTGATGCAATACCAAAACATCAGCATCGAACTGCAGAGACGGATACGGCTTTAGCGATGGAGATATTAGAACCATCCCTTTGCGAACCTCTTTTTTGCTGAACTTCCTGAAGAAGCGAAACAAAAATATGGGCTGGCCATATCATGTGATCAGCAGACAGTATCATCGAACGCACCAATACTTCAAACTCAACTGAGCAGTCGAGAACGTTTGTTGCACAGCAAACGAATAAGCCATTAATAAACCTGATTGCAAAAGAAGCCGTTTGACCACATCGGATTTTTGAAACTGGCATTCGTTTACGATGTATCGACTTGACCGGAACCGGCACGAAGTCACCGCTTGGATTCGGTCCGATCAACATTGTATCGTTTAGCGCAATTGTTCCTGGTATAGCATTCACTCGTTACTCGTACCACTCAAAATTCTTCAATTCAGCAAACTTATCAAACGCAACTAACCAGCCATACATGTACCAGAAACCACCGTACCAACACCAGCTACCCAATAAACCTCATCAATCAGAAATTCGGCCGGACTATCAAGCGATAATGAACGTCGAAGAGGGATCAAATTCAGGAACGCTTTCAGCAAATGCAAATTTGTGCCTACCACATTGGATACTTGAAATATTGGACAAACCCTGAAAATTAATTTTGAAAAATTAGATCAGTGAATACGTGAATAAAGAAATACATACTCATGCACACGCACACACACATCGATGTATCTTAGCTGTTACCTGCCACTGGCAAAATGCAACGCAGCTTGTACAACATCATTCATTGTTCGCATTGCAATTGGTAACTTTCGAACACCGGGACTTTTCATCAATCGATCGAGATTTTTTAGCGTTTCGGCCAATACCTGCAGGAGAATGTAAATTAACAGTGTGACGGTTCATTTTCAAACAAAATCCATCTCATCTACTCCATCTATACGAACAAGTTCAGTAGTGTGTTTTTTTTGTTTACTAAGTTGCGTAATCAAACAGAAACATCAGCAGATCATTTCATTAATCTATTCATTAATTAACCTGCTCTGGACACATATCGATCTTGGTCACGACAATAAATACGGGTACATTGAGCGAGAGTGCTAACGATAAGTGTTCTTTGGTCATTCCAATAATACCTGCATTCGAGCCAACCTAAAATTACATCAACAATTTTGTAGACAATTTTATCTGACACCTCAAAAAATGAGAACAAAACAACGACAATGACAAAAACGAGTTTCACTCTCAAACCCAAAAATATGGATTAACGGTGCCCGTAATGTAGATTCGCGATTATCAATAATCATGAAAGAATCGAAATTACTGTATATTTGGGCACATTCCTCGCCAATGTGTATGCATCTGAATGTTTTAAGATCGAAAAGGAAGGAAACACTGCTTACCATTAGCATCGTGTAGTCAGGGACATGACCTGTCATACCAAATATAGTCGTTTTTAAGTACTTCTCGTGACCAGCCAAATCGATGAACGTTATCACCTACAGAGAAGATAGCTTCAATCTAATCTTCAGTTTCTAACGAGTCCGATTTACACGCAAATATATTACGCACTCTTCATCGCTAGAGAATATCACGACAAATATGCATAAACAACGAACAGATAAATAAATACCTTTGCCGAATCGCGGCAAATGTTCACCCAATCCAAATTCCCGCTATGTGGATCTGGCTTATTGACAACTTGTCCATCAATACTAAAACCCAGAATATCATTTCCTACTGACGATGTTCGACCAGATTCGAATTCATGTTTATGCCTGAAAAAGGAGCAAATAACGAAATGAAATAAAACTGGACTACACTTTCACCATGTCGCTACAAAAATCTACAAGAAGCGTGGAACTAAATACACATGCAAGAGTTATATGAGTGATGCTCCTGCATTTCAACTGCTTAACAGATACAAACAATTTCTCGAAAGAAATGCAGCAAACCTGAAAAGTTTTTGTCGAGCGTGACCGCGACCATCATCAAGGGCACTATGCGTTAAAACACCAAGAAGTGTTGACTTACCCGCATCAACGTTACCAACCACAGCAACACGCACCTGTAACAATGACAAAAATAATGTTTCGTCTTATCCGGGAACATTCGATCCACTCGGTTGTCGCTAACATTCAACATCAAATGCCCACTCCGCTACTATTTCATTTCCTTTTTGGCTGCTGTATTTCTCATTCGGAAGTTTGACGGATGAAGACACGATACCTCAATGAAGTCATCAACGTCAACATTACGTCGAACCAGATGAAAACTCGTGAACAGATCACCGCATTGTTTCTTGACAAGTTGAACTGATGATATATTTGACTGTTTCATTAGTTCTTTATGCTTCTCTTCAGCAATTTGCAAATCCTTTTCACACAGACCTGCAATAACCATTTTGAATCTCGGAAAGGATAAGAGTAGTGCAACGTTCAGGGGATAGGAGAGGACACCCACAAAAGAGGAAAGACGCCCGGTAATGTTTCTAGGGATTAATACATATTTCTTGAGGAGGATGGTCCTCTGTCTATCTGTCGGCATTTTCAATTTCATGTCACTTCCATTTTCATTTGAGCTCAAATTGAGTCCTTCTCCGAAACCAAGCTGTCGGGAACTCTCAACAAAAAAACAAGCTGTCCTTCCAGCGGTGTTCTTATTTTTGATATCCCAATTACGAAAAAATGGATCAACCGTAATCAACCTTTTTTAGTGTCATCGTCGATAGATACGCCGATCTCAATGATTGCTTCACCTTCGCCGACGAACAACATCGAATCAATATAATTCTCATATTTTTGCACTATTTTCTTCTCATTCTCATCATCTTTCTCATTTGATAGATTTAAGTGTTTCAGGAAATCTTTTGAGAGACTGTTCACAGCTGAGTCAAGTGCACTCTCTCCTGGAATAATTCGAGTAGACATTACTGTCACATAATCATGCTCTACTAAACAATTGAGTACAAGAAAACTACTAGAGCAGCTCGTTAGAATATAAGGAACCCGTGCTACAATAGGTTTCTAAAACCAGAGTAATAACCAAGATTGTATTCGGTATGAACAATTTTGATGAATAACTAGTCAATGGATTTTTACAACCTGAGATTGTAGCATCCTCTTCATCTGGTGCGAAAAATTTTGCGGCAGCCGTTGCCGCTTTATTCATATTGTTGTTTTCACTGCAATAAAGAGATCGATTGCAATTAAATGAAAAACTGAAACGATTCATAAACATTCAATCCCTCTCGTTATGATGCAACTTCAGAATCACAGTGCCCTATTATCGAATGAATTCGCCCAAAACCCTCACTTCCATATTCAAACCACGTATTAATTCATCATTTGCTCAGCACACCTCCACGACAATCCAAAAACCTCACATTTCAAACAAACCGCCACAAACAATGTGCCACATATCCTTATCTCTAAAATCGTGACACTTCCTAAAATCTATTCACCGCAAAGGTACTCGCAAATCAAAATCATCGGAAATGGTTTGTTTGTAATGAAGTTAAATGATAAAATCAAAAAGTGTTCTAATGGATAAATGATCTGAAGGACGCTTGTTTTGATCATTTTGAATATCAATCGATCAGTGCAAAAGATAGCGACGATGATGTTGATGTTGAATAGGTGGAGCAAGTCAATACGATATCAAGTATTAGATGTGTATTGGTGGTTTGATGATAATCGGAGTAATTATATAACTTTTAATGATTAATCAACATTGCACAAACTGATGCCATCTTTCTCAACAACAAATCTTTATGTGTTCACTATTACGCAATTATGTACTCGCTGCTATTCGATGAATCATTTTTTACTGTTTACATTTTCACGTCATCGAATACAAAGGCTTACAAGTTATGACTGAACATTAACTTCCTTTACTAGCCCAAAACTAAACTGTTTGAAAGGCTTCTAGTTTAGAGGCCGAAATGCTGAAAACGAGGAATAAGTTCTGGAAGTGGGAATGAGAGAGTCGCACATCATGCCTCCTCCATCCAATACGCACGTTGTGTGTATCACTCATCTTATCCGTCCTACAGCTGAGAGGTTCTTTTCAATTGAAAACGTTCGAGAGACAGAGAGGACAACGAATTCGAGATAGTTTAGACGTCATACAATGCGACGAAACTGTTACTGTTGTTTAGAAATGTTAACAAGATTAGAAATTGATGGGCCCAGTGCATGGTGGACCGGCATTCTCCCTCTCGAACAAACTATGTGGCTGAAATTTCTCTAATTTAATACTTCTTTGTAACAAATCACACGAATTTGATCGTTTGATGCAGAAGTTTGATGTAAAGAATACGTCGATCTTATCAAACCAGTCATCTTCTTGTAACCAAACAAGCATTTTTAAAATATTATCAAACATTTATGTGAGAATTGTGAAAAAAAAAACTGATCGACAATTATTTGTTAACGTCCAAAATTCTCTCGAACATCTTCAGCTCCCTCCTCCTCCCCTGCCCCCCACGAAGCAAGTTTCCCCCTTCAATAACCTCTGGTTTAATCCAACTTCTTTCGCATCATTAACAATTGATGAAGCAACTTTTCGAAATTGACTATTGTGATAAGCTCGCCCAATCATAAAAAACCAACGACTCCTATAATACTTTCCGTTATTATGATATCTCGAAAAATTTCACTTGTCTTCCGTTCTCAGCTCATATCAAATATATATCGAATATTGAATATCTCTTAGAATATTGAATCTCTTAGACAACCACATCATCAATACTAGGTGATGAATAGGTAATGAAATAAGAACAACAACGCCGTAGTACATTATCGAATAGTCTTAACGCTACATTGTGTTGCATTTGTTTGCAATTGCAGAAAAACAAATGACTACTGATATTTCAAAGAAGGAACTTAACTCGGGTTATTCGATGCCCGTCATCGGCCTAGGCACATGGCTATCTAAACCTGGTGAGGTGTCTAAGGCTGTTGAAGTAGCTGTTAAAACTGGTTATAGACATATCGATTGTGCCTATGCATATTTGAATCAAAAAGAAGTGGGTAATGCGTTAAGCCGATTGTTTGACGAAAAAATTGTTCAGGTATGAATTGAATTCAGTTAAGACTAACAAACAACTATTTTTTCAAATTCTAACCAGGTATTAACTAGGTTTCTTTTAAATTGCAAAGTTTTCATGCGAATTTACCTGATCAGCAAGCATTTGTCTTAGTAATTTACACTTTCAGCGAGATGAAATTTTTGTGACCTCAAAAGTATGGAACACGTTCCATTCATATGAAATGGCCAAAAAGAACGTCGATGAAATTCTGGAAGAGCTGCAATTGAAATATCTCGACTTGTGTCTGGTGCACTGGCCACATGGTTACGAAGAAGGTGGTGAAGTCTTCCCGCAGGTTAGTGGCATTGACCGTGAATATCAGTGGCACTCGAATACCAAGAAAATAAATCAAAGGAACATTCGACAGAGAGTTTAGAATTGTGCCAATCGAAAAACATTACTGTTCGCGTTCAGTGTAAAGGCCAGCAGCGAAGGATAGGTCGGTAAATGGTGAATGAATCGAAGAGAATCAATGAAGGTATTAGTGATTAATAAGTGACCAGTTTAGAATGAGAACGGTAAGATGCGATACTCAAATGTGGACTATCTGGAAACATGGAAGGCGTTAGAGGATTGCCACCGAGCTGGCAAAATTCGCTCGCTGGGAATTTCGAACTTCAATCATAAACAAATCGAACGAATTCTCGAGGAATGCACCGTGAAGCCATGCGTGCTTCAGGTTCACTATTCATCCCATATCCACTTTTCTCTATTTGACGAAATACAACCAAGTAATGTACTCTTTCAGGTTGAGTTGCATCCCTATTTTCAACAACATCAATTGAGGGAATTTTGTGCATCCAAAGGTATCGCTATAACTGCGTACAGTCCTCTCGGCAACCCATCAATGCCGTTTCGCAAGCAAAACGATGCAGTAGCACTCGAAGATGCTACGGTTAAGCAGATTGCACAAAAATATAACAAATCTCCAGCGCAGGTGGGTACTTTCGTTGATGTTATGCTGTATTTTGATTTTGCGTTTTCAAGTTGTGTAAGTAATTGAATCAATTGAGTTTTAGGTAATTCTTCGATGGGAAATTTCAAGTGGTTTAATCGTAATCCCAAAATCAACATCCGAGAAACGAATCGCCGAAAACTTTCAACTATTCGACTTTGAGCTGAACGATGAAGAAATGAAACAAATGAATGGTTTAGATCGTAACTGGAGAATTTTAGATTTAACATCTCGAGACGGTGACCATCCACTTTTTCCATTCAATGAGCCATACTAGATGAATAGGCGAATAGCGATGTGACCGCATTTTCTTTCGCATTCATTTGTTTATTACTGTTGTGATGTTGGCATATTTCACCGATCTTATTCTTTGTTGATTAAATAAAAAACAAATAAATGAATTGCAATTGGTTTAGTGAGTAGTATCAATGTGGAGAAGATATTCTTTTTATGCTTCTTTCAAGCAACAACCATCAACCAAAAAAACAATCAATCTGGAACGATTAAATAAACAAACAAAGAGAATAAATAAATAATAACAGTAATAAACGATCCCCAAATATGATATCCAGTAGAAACGTTCACAATTAACCATCCTAACAAATACGTTAAGAAGCATGGACGTTGCGCACTGCTACTGCTGCATTTATAACATGCATACATCACATCAACCCACCAGAATGAGAATGAATCGTCGAAATGTTTTTCAAAATAAACACCGAAGTGAATTAATTTCAATTCGAATTCAAATGTATCCATTTATTGAATCAATCAATCAATCAGATTCCTGATCAGAATCTGCTTGTTGTTGAGAGTTTCGAGTCGCCTCTTCCTGATCCTTTTGCAAGTCGAGTCCTTTCGGCGCCACAAGACCATCATCATCACTGCCTGAACTGTTCTCTTCATCCTCCAACGCCATCATTTCCATCCGCTTTTTGATTTCCTCTTCATCCAAATCGGTCACTACCTTCGGCTGAAATTTCTCAATTTTGTTCACGAACAACACTAACCAACCGTTTGCTCTCTCCTGTAATAACGCAAACATAACACATACATACCGCCATAACAATCTTGAAAGTGCCTTGATGAGATTCAATTGTCTGCTTGATCTTATCCAGTGCTTGATTTACCGCTTCCAAGCCCTCACTTCGTTCCAGTGTCTGTGTTGTCACTACGAATAGTGGTGCAGCAATTAAATTGATCTAAAACAATATCACATTTATCGCATGATATTTTGCTACCTATACCGCCAAACATCTGAACATCTCATTCAATTTTAAAAGATGACGACTACTCAATTTTTGCTCGCTGATTTTGGATCTTATGAACAATCAAGAAAACAACGATAATCGAGAACATGAACTATTCACGTTCGCTCACCTTAATTGGCATTTCTTCTGTACAACATTTTTGTCCATTGATAAGCGCTTCTTTCACAGCATCAATCCCGTCGTATGAGAAACATGAAACTTCGATATCGGCACGGATTTTCACCGCTTGAGGTGTTAACCTCTTCCTGTATGATAAAGAACAAAATTTTAAACACATTACGATGTCATCAGCATCAATCAGAAAATATAATCACCAATACACTGTTACCTTCAGTACTCATCAATATCTTCACTCGCTAACCTTATATCTTCCAAAAGTTTTTCACGCACATCTGTTGGTATATCGCATTCGTCCAATACAGTTGCATCACTACAAATACATATATATCATTATATGCAAATGTAAAAATAAATAATTTCCATTGTTAATGCCATAAACATTCCAAAAAATAAAATGTCACAGCAAAAGCAATCACATGAAAGTACGTCCATTTCTCATAGTTTCAATCCTCCACCATAATTTTCCATCCAAGCGAATTTACAATATCACAAACAACTGCGATAGCAATTAGGTTCATCTGTTCACCTGATTGCTTTCTTAAAGATGTCGTAAGCGGCTGCTTTCTTCTTCAACTTCTTATCGAAATACCACGCAGTTTTTTCGTATAAATCCTCCAATTGTTTCTCGGATTCATAACCCAACTGATCAGCGACGTGACGCAATATACTGCAAAAATAAAGCAATTCAATTGACACCAAAAGCAATTCGATGCATCAAAAAATTGGTTGAATAATAATCAACAGAAAGAACCTGTTCACAGCTTTGGCCTTCGCGAAACGATCTTCGCACTGCAACAAATCTTTGGAATAGACACGTCTTTTCGACAAATCAATATATCCTTTCTCTTTATCAACTCGAATTACAACCACACATTCATTACGACCTACACGAATCAGCTTGTTCACCGAGCGAATTCGACGACGCGACAGTTCAGATAACAGAATCATTCCCTCTGCAAAACAACACAAACTCATAAAGCAATTACTTCAAACAAGCGTAACACAGCAATTGCATTACACTACCACAAAGTCTTCACGGAAAATGTACAACTAACCTTTATTGTTGTATTCAAGTAACGATACGTATGCACCCATTTCAGCAATTTGACGAACATTCACCATCACTGTATCTTCGACATCTGGGAATTGATTTGCATAGAATCGGCATGACAATGGCATTTTTATTCGACTTCGCCTTCAACAGTTGAGCTATCCTACAAACACAACTGTACTTCAATTTATAACCAACAACAACCAGTGAATACGAGTTACTTTCACATGATTGATAACGGCTACAAACGTTCTCAAGTACGCGCACTTATCCCTAATATCGTATGGGAGCGATTCTCATAAAAATCCCTTCCAAACACAAATTTCTGATTATTTGAAATACTCCGTGTAAATGACATATTGAAACAGCCAATAGACATGTTTTGGTTGTTGAAATGCATTTGAAATAGACCCATCGTTGTTCTAAGTATCAACTGGAAATTACCTCAATATTCAACTGACATGATGTGCCTTGTTGGCATTAAACTTGTCTGTTTCTTCAAGAAAGTTGAACATATGTTATCACTCGATGCTCATTCGACCATTTCAGTCACACGAAACTCAATTGTATACCACCCACCAGCGAATGCAGAAAAGCGTTATTAACGTCATTGTTATGCACTCAGATATTACAGATCGGAATCTAGACGAATTATTAAAATGAAGCAAACTAATAAAACGAATCCTTTATGATCATCGGGTAAACCTAACAATTCAATTAGAATTTGAAGATGAATAAAACAATAACACGAAAAAACGATGGTATATCCAAGAAAAATACAATAAAAACGTGCACAACAACGTAACAATTATTGATTCTGTTCACGTAAACTATCTCGTTGAACATGAACAAAAACACGTCAATAACACTAGCATATTCTTATTTTATTATAGCATTGAGCACAAAGAGATTGACAACAGGGCATTTACACTGAGGGTAAATTGAACAAGGTGTTTTGATTGCCTGGAAGATAAATGATATTCCTTGATTTTGCCATTTTTTCGGCCAGTTCTTCAGCAGCTTCAATTTTTCGTAGTTCAATTAGGCCATCACCAGCGTCTTTAAATGCTTGTGCTAGAAGTTTGGCTGCTTGGGCATCACCCTCAGCAGTTGTGATCGCTGCGATTTTCATTTGTTCGGCTGTTTCGACCAAATATCGCGCTTTCTCGGCTTCCTGTTGTGCCACTTGTTTCATTTCAACTGCTTCTGTGAATTCGCGGCCGAATGATAAATGCGTCTGGAACACAAAAAATGCACGAGTGCATACTTCATGATCATTATTGTCTGACATAAGCAGCATACTTAATTCAGCACACTTTCATTCACCACAACTTTTCATACAATCTTAATAGTCCATACGTGCTTCCATTTCAACAGAAGTTGTTAAAAATTACGAACTTCAACACTGAAATATCTCGACATACTTCAATCAACCAAACAAACAACATGATCCTAATTTTATTTCGATGCATGTTTTCTCTTCCTTACCAAAGTTGGCAAGTTCGGTGAGTGACCGGCTCGCCATTACAAATTTAATAGAAAAGTGAATACAGATATGGAACAAAGCATACTATGGCAATATCGTCAAGAAGAATGCCGAATTGTTTAGCCCTCTCAGCCAGTTCGACCGAAACTCGATGACTGACACTTTCACGCTGTGTTATCATCTCGTGTGCATCAAATTGTGCCTGAAAGTTCAACATCATTCTGTCGAATGTCTTATGGAAGGAGAAACAAGATTCGTTACACCTTTCTAATATTCTTTCAAAAATTTCAAACGTCCTAAACAATAATAGAGAAGGATGACATTTCTAATTCGCGATATAATTTATTGCATTTACAAAAATAAGTGGGCAAATAAACATGTTTGCAACAATGATAAGCAATTGATCAGATAGAAAGTAAACCATAAATTGGAAATCAATAAATGAATGAAACGTACAACAACAGCTTTGAGAACTTCGTTGACGATTGATGGTAACACTCTTTCAGCATAGTCGTGTCCAATATTCAAATAAATATTCGGTAATTTGCTCGGCTCAGGTCTGTGCAATATACGTAATGTGATTGTGACATTTTGTAAATCTGAACGAAAAAAACGCTTTCAATATTTTGCAGTTACACACAACAAAAAGTGAATGATGTTTGGGTCTTCATTTACATTGTTACTGCTGAATAATACGGCTCATAACACAGAGCCCGACTGAATGCATTTTCGTTTGAAAGTGTTGCTGTATCATAAGCCGGCGTTGTTATTCTGTGATAAGCACTATCTAATGAAGGAGTAACTGAACCAAATTGTGGCTCACCTTTACTACCGGTTATCGTCGAAACTGCTCGAGGCGTAGACCTGATGTCAAAAATGATTGGTCGCTGAACCCACGGGATAAGGAAGTGAGTACCCTCACCCACCACGTTTGGCTTTACACCAGCGAATCGGTCAAATATTACTGCACGCTGACCACCGTCCACTGGAATTACACACAGTACTATTGGTTCAAAACAGAAAAAAAAAACTAGATTATGGAGTTGCCGGTCCAAGACCATTGGTTCGAACCCAGAGCTACCCGGCCGTACCACGGATTTTTTTACCCAGCAAATTTTAGATCGGAAAATCTTGGTCCAGCCTGGGACAGGTAAATCAGCACTCCCCAAAAATAAAAAGATCAAAACGAACGAAAACATCTCTGCATTCCAGAAGTAATCAAAAATATTCGAAATGAACCATATTACAAATTATACCGTTATAAAGTGCTGACTGAGCAACACCGCCTGCTATAGCAACTGCAACACCAATTTGCCCAAGTCGTCCAAGAACCTTCTGAAGCGCTGCCATCCTTCTTTAGAATCTAGTGGAACTTCCTCTCCACCACAGTTAAATTCGTGAAAAAACGCTGAAAATTAGCAACAAAATGAAGACTGTGATGTAACAAGGATTCGCAATTTGAATGGTTCATTATTCATATGGTAACTTTTGAAACTCATTTCGAAGATCGAAACATTTTGAATAAAATATTATAACTGAGTGGCACCATTCCTATATGTGTAGAGTGGAATAAAACGGGCTGCTAAGAAGTGAGACAGACCTCTGTAACTGTATTGCCAATAGAACTGATGAATATGGCCTGAAAAGCGTTGCTCTCTTCGGCTATTAAGAGCAGTTGGTGGTCTGATGTTGGCAATTCACTCCGGTGCTTATTTTCATGAGAGCATTCCGCCCAGATTGTTTTTCGTCGGTGGTAATTCGTGGATGCACTTCATTTTGACATTGCTCGTTGTTATGTTCTCTTTTGCGCTGACTTTTCCAGTCTTCTGTGCGCATTATTCATTAGCATCTCTTTAGTGTTCCATAGCCTATTAGTTCTGAATTTGTGACTGAAGTAACTTTCTCACCTGTAGTTTGACTAGATTTTATGGAGTGCGATGAAATCTAGGAAACTGAATCTTATATTTTAATATCTTTTTGTTTTTGAGGATTTTGATAGCCTTTATATCACTGTACGTTTTCCTTATTCGTGCTTTTTTTGCTGTTTACGTTTAATTTTCATTTGTCAATTTGTTCATTCATTCCACTTATGGGTCTTGACTTTTCTATGAAACTAGTGGAATTGTTTCTTGACAGGCCAGTCGAAAGTTTACAGTGCATTGCTTTATGTTCTTCACAGAATTGAGCTTTCATAAGGATAACTTATTTTCATGTGTTCTTTTAACATCGTGTTTATTATGTAGTCTGTCTGTTCATCGATTGTATCACACTGGTCATCCAATGATTTGATGAAATGATGAATGTTTTTAGAGGAATGGCCACCTCGAAAAAGAAGACAAGGAAGCTTAGGGGACACGTATCGCACGGTCACGGCAGAATTGGAAAGCACCGTAAGCATCCCGGAGGTCGTGGTAACGCTGGAGGTCAGCATCATCACCGAATCAACTTTGATAAATACCATCCTGGGTACTTCGGAAAGGTAAAAATTTGTAAAATTATTATTTTACCATGTGTGTTTCATTACATTCGTAGTTGTATTTTGTTTCAACAGTCAGTCTCGTCAAGTGCCAAGCGTTAGGAGTAACCACCTTTTATTTTTAGGTTGGCATGCGTAATTTCCATTTACGGAAAAACAGTCTGTATTGTCCAACAGTAAACTTGGATAAATTATGGTCACTGGTCTCGGAGAAGACACGAACCACCTATGCTGAAAAGAAGGATAAGGCACCTGTGATTGATGTCGTTAAGGCTGGTTATTTCAAGGTGCTTGGCAAGGGCCTATTGCCTAAGCAGCCGGTGATCGTTAAAGCCAAGTTCTTCTCGCATTCAGCCGAGGAAAAAATTAAGGCAGTCGGTGGTGCCTGTGTATTGGTTGCGTAAAGATCTTCAACCGTTGTGTTTTGTTGTTTCTCATTGTTACTGTTAATAAAGGCTGTATCAAGTTTACAACTGTTTCAGTTTTGTCTTATGTGAACGGTTTTATCCGGTGTTCAATTATCTTTTCTTTAATTTCTTGATATCATCATTGCTTGGTATTGTTTGTCATGCATTCTTTCATGAGCGGGAGTCTAATTTATGGGTTCTCGTCGATACGGATATTTTTTAGATTATATTTTCAAAAGATAAGTGAATATTTGCAGGGATTAAAGTGCATTGTTCTCATTTGAGCTAAGGCTTCCAAGCGACTTGCACTTGAATAAAATCACTTAAAAATGGCTCACGCTGGACACCAAGCTGCTGCACACAACGAAATCGCATGTGTTTACGCAGCGCTCATACTACAAGATGACGAAGTTGCAATCACGGGTGATAAAATAAGCACAATACTGAAGGCGGCCCATGTTGAGGTGGAACCATTCTGGCCCGGTCTTTTTGCCAAGGCACTTGAGGGTGTCGACGTTAAGGTGTGTTTTTTCAAGGCATTGCTTTGGAGGAAATTAAATGTTGTCGCTAATTTTTTCATTTTTTTAAAGAATGTCAGTTGAGATTTGCTTTTATCACTAATTGCGATTGTTGAGATGAGTGGATTATAACTGAGATATAGTCGGATGTTTGGACATTGAAATGGAATGTTTGTTTCAGTCACTAATCACAAATATCAGCAGTGGTGTTGGTAGCGCAGGCCCTGCCCCGACAGGTGGTGCAGCGCCAGCCGCAGCAGCAGAAGCACCAGCGGCCGAGGCCCCGAAGAAGGAGGAAAAGAAAGAGGAAGCAGAGGAATCGGACGATGATATGGGATTCGGATTGTTTGATTAAACTGAAACTTGTTCGATCGCAGTTGTTGTTTCTATTGTTATTGCATGTTATTGCAAATATCAAGTTTGATACTAATACGATGCATATATGTTATATATCTGGTGCAAATGTTATGCAGATACAAATATGCGGATAAAATGTATTTGTTGAGTCGTTCGTATTGCATCACATTTATGTAGACTGGATGCTAAATTGAATAGATAAGAATGCACTGGAGGAGAAGGTACTGGATAGTTTATTGCATTGAATTAACAGTTGATAATTGGAGGGTACGGCACGAATGAGATGAAGCATTAAAATAAGGCACTTGTTGAAGATGCATCTATAGATCTCGTTTTGATGTTGAGGATGAACCTCAACTGGAAAAGAAAGGGAGAGGGAAGGCACAGCCAAACAAGCGGTTAGAATGGTCTTATGCAGAATCATATTGTGGTAGAGAAGAAGTTCGTCGTCGTGTTTGAGCATTTCGTTTACGGGATGCTGCTGCTTGGATGGTTGTTAATGAACTGAGTGGAACGATTTGATTCGAGGAATGGCGTTTCTTGCTTGGAGTAGAGCAATGACCTGCAAGTTTTATTGAGAAGACAGAGACCAGAACGATGATGGAAGTAAAAAGCTACTGCTGACCTGCAGATGAAGCTCGAGACGAGGAACTTTCGAGATGATTGTTCGATGTATTCGGAATGGTTTGTAGAGGAGGTAAATGAGGTGGTAGTCGGGAGTGTCTCAACGCTGATGAGTTGTTATCAGTGTCATCATCGCTGGCTGTTTGTGGTAGTGGTGCCACTTGATTACGGGACCACTTCAATTCAACATCATTATTATCATTGTTTCTACTAGCTTTGGCCGGAGGAAACCCTATCGGGTAGCAAAGTGGCCGAGGAGCGATCCCGACAAAAAGTCAATGAGCACAGTTATTGGGAATAATTGCCGCCCGTCAGAGACCCCGACGAGGACTTCATTTGATGATCAGTGCAACATGGTTGTGATGTTATTAATCACTGAATGAATGCCTATCAAACAGTCAGTTACTAATTCAAACCAATTGGCTTTTTACCTTCCGAAAATTGCCATTCCTTCTTTCCATTTTTTTCACTAAATGGTTATTGCTCATTGTATTGTGTGCTTGTTGTTGTTGCATAACCACAGCTTGATCTACATTGCTCTGATCATTGCCATTTGGGAGGGCACCAGCCGAATTTTGTTCGTTTACTGCCATCTTGGAATCCACTGAATTTGATCTGCTGCAATTTTAAGCACATTCTAATATTTGATCTGAATCAAGAATGAATCGATGAGAGTTTATCATGCACTCTGTTTATCAGAGGTAATCGCATTCGCAAATAACTTGAAAAAGTTTCATTTATTGGACAAACTGATCACATGAAAAACAGTTAATATAGAAAGTAGATGAATAGATCACTTGACGAATATATATGTATACAGAAATTAGGTGATTAACCGTAACTTATCCAAAGAATTGTTCTGACTGAAGAAAGAAAAACACTAAGTGAAATCACCGACCTGGTTGCAGTAGCCGCAAGTCGATGTTGTCTTCGGATACGTTCCTCTTCTTGTTTTCTTTTCAGAGCTTTCAATGCTTCATTCACACCTTTTTCGATACTCTCAAACTCATCAGAAATTCTCTCTAAAAGCCAGTCAAATCCATCCCTGATGGCACCATCAATTGTATTTCCAGTACCTTGATTTGCTGCACAAACCTCCTTAAAGGCTTGAAACATTAATTCTGAAACTAACGGACACACACACACACACATGAAAGATATATCAATTTCTTTTTGTCTTCATTTCCCACTCGTTCTCAATAAAGTAACAAATGAAGGTTTCATTTAGTGGGAGCATATTCCGTTTCAGATATTAAGACCTCACTAATACTTATATTCAAAATTCAACGGTACTTCTCATGAAAACTTTATAATAAAAGAATTATTGAAACAACCCTTTAGCGTTGATATAAATGCAAATTTACACGCTGCAGGATATTTTCAAATCGGAAAGTTATTCAATCAACAAATAAACAAATGCATGAATAAATAATCTCATACCACTCGGATGCGTGCTTTGTAGGTATTCGCAAGGTCATGAAGGCAAAATAGATCGCTGATTTGGATCTCATCGATGCATCCATCTTGATCTTTCTTGTTCACCAGCACCAATATCGGTTTACCTCGTAGACTCTCGTTACTAATCACTTCTTTTAACGTTTCACTACTTTCATTCAATCGGCTTCTATCACTGCCATCGATCACATATATCACACCGAATACCTTGAGATGAATATCACACCAATGAAGCTTGATTTGTTTCTATTCGAACCGAATAATTCGAAGCGCTGAATTTGTCCTCGACAAACATCCTCATTGTCATCAAAGCACATTTCACTTTACCTATTGAATATCACTTCGAGCAATTACGATCCAGCTGAACACTCAGTGCAACGGCAGGCAATTGCTTATTAGGATCATTTTAAAAACTTATGACAGCATTCTCAAGCAAATTCGTACTTCATATTCGACAATGACTATACTTGTGTTGGTTGCGCACTGAACCGAAACGTCGAAAGACGACTGAAAACAAACCTCCGGATAATAGTTCTTCCAAATTGCGCGTATGCGTTCACCTCCACCAAGATCGTATGCAACAATATCGGTATTTTTGTATTTGAATTCTGAGAGTATAAATCCGTTGGTTGGTAATACTTGTGTTATATCCTCTGCAAGCGATACTTCTTTATTTATTTTCCGTCAATCAATAGCAATCGTTATCGAAAACACTATCGATGAAACACACTTAACGAAAGTTAATTGTATCCACAAGTGAAAACCTGAGAGTGCCAGATTTCGCCAGATAGTTGTAACTTTTAAGTATCAGGTATTTACCGTCATCTGATCGTGAACACATTATCATCACGAAAGAGTTGCAATCTCATCAAATCAAAAGACGATTACTAATAGCAATGAGTCTGATTAATTTAATAGCCATTTAGTGCTTATTTCATACTCATTGAATCGTCTCACACATTGTCACTCTAATTCACATTAGTTTTTGGCATCGAAGGAGCAATATTTTTTCGAACGAATGAAATACAAAGAAGTGGATCAAATCGAAGTAAACAATGCAAAAATGCATCAAAGGTACTAAATGCGAATTTCTAATAATACCGGATGCAATCGCTTTAACAAATGTCGATTTTCCAGCACCATCAATACCAACTATACATAAATATATTTTCCTGAAAGCATCAATGATTGACTGCTAGTAGATATTCAAAACAGTTGGCCAATGTAAATTTGAATAGAACGAACTTGTGAACAATAATTGCTATAAAACAAGCACACTGCACACATCTCCTTGAATCAAATCAGTTGACCACTAATCGATCAACCGCTCAATTCATAATTCACTCACCTTGTCTTCCTAAAGGGTAATCGAGTTTTCTTAGCTCGCGATTTGAATCCCCCAACACAGTTTCCCATACTAATGCGGCTGCCACATCAATGTTGATCAGCTTGGCTGCCTGCTGATATTGCTGGCTATTAAGCCATTCAATACTAAGGTTGACGAAAACAGCGTTGTTTCGACTGAATCACCATAGTAACTACGCGACAGATATGAAATGGACATTCATTGTGTGCAGAAAGGATGAAAGTGAATGATATTTCATTAACGTTTTTATGCTTGAAAATGCATACAACAGCAAAACTAAACGCTCAATAATTCTCTTATAGATGTCTGCAATTCAAGTCATATGCTGCTCATAAGTAACAAATGCTCAGTGAATAAACCAACCAGTCTCGGAGTAAGGCAAATTATTTATAACAGTGATGGTGATGTAATACGGAGAATACAAATGAAATATATTTGCAACTTCAAATACGGTCGTTCGCAAAAGAATCGTTTGGGAGATTTCAGGAGTATCAAACTCGACCAATAAGATAAGCGGGTAGCAGTGAAGAGCTCAATGAGGCAGAAGAAGGGGATCAACAACTTCCTCACAATCAGATAATGCTGAACACGGAGATCACTGGAAGAGTAAAAGTGGCAGAGCTACGAATCGACGAATCGTATTGAAGTCACTCATCAAGATGATTGCTAGAAACGGAAATGGTATAATAGCAGCAATGAGATTTATAAATATAATAGGTTTCATGAAGGATTTGGGCATAATTATGCATAAAAACATCGAATATTATATGAAAGGTGTTGTATGGATTATGTTGCAAACTGCTACGTCGTAATACTGCAGATAACGAAACGATACACGTAGCATCATAAATAAAAAGTACATCGTTTATCCCACATTCAAGAGTTGAGATATGGTAAGAAGATTGGCTATTTTATGTAAAAAGTGTCGTGGATAGTCACATTATTATCAGAAGTAATAGTTAACGCCTAAGTCTATTGAGATAAAAGCCTGAATTTTTTATATATTGTTCGGTTCAGGCTTACTAATTTGATTTTCCCGAAATATAGTGATTTTCCGATTCTTTTTTATGCTCTCAAGATGGTAACGTGGACTTTTAAGATAGACTTCTTTCACTTCCATTTGTATCGATGATATAAATGAATGATATAAAAAACTAATATAAAACTGATATCACTTTTCCATCTTTACTTTGTGGAAAAAAGTGTAAACAATGTTCTGCCTAAAGAAGATTTTCCCAAAGATGCTTTGATTCAATTTTATGCTCACTTGAAACATTGCTTCTAAAATGAGAACGTTAAACGGCTAATTTACAAGCGATTCATTTGTGGTCACTCATAATGTTGATTGATCACCGACCGCACTAAGTGCTTGCGAAATGTTTGGTAAAAACAGCATGGGTGGCCAGCTTTCTATTCATCCGGCATTTCACATTCTTGTTCAATATGAGATTGATTCTTTGCGTACTTAAAATTAGATTACCTGTGGAAAAGTATCTTTTCAGTAAACGGGCGTTGTGAATGATCGTTCAATTCATAGATATTTTAAGAAGTGATTTCAAAGACTTGTTTAGCTTTTAACCAATTTGAGAATCAATGTCTAGAAATTGTGTTTGAAATACGTTTCCAAGAGGACTTATTTACGAGTTTTAAAGTGTGATTTAGAAACAGAAAAGTTGGAGCGTTCCAAAGTGAAATATGAACATCGATGACAACTATTTAGAATTCATACGTTTTCATAAACACATATGGGTGGATTTAAAACCCGCCTGCTAGCACTAGGGGGTTCAGACTTAGGTTTTTTCACTATTAGGCTAAGACTGAGTCTTATTCCCCGATTTAAGTCCAAGCTGTGGTACGGGGTGGGACTTCAAGTGAAAAACACAAGTGAATTTCATTCCCTAATAAGCCTACTTCTGAGCCAATGCCTGAGAGTAGGTTTGAGTCTCATGCTGAGCTTTTTTTCATCGGATGATACTAAAGCTGTCTCATGGGTGTTTGCAAATCATCCTAACAGTAAAGCACTAGCACATATAAGCGATTCAAAAGATTCATTTCAAAAGATAAACGATACGAAAGGTTCGCTATTTTGATCGTTTAATTCTTAGAAGACAAATAAGGTGTGTTTCTTTTAAACACTAGTTAACAGCTCGCTGTATCGTTGCACCATTCATCGTGATGTCTTCATTTCGATTGCTCATGCTCAGTTCACTTGCACGTTCAGCTTTGGAAAGTTAAGAATTATTCTGACTGCTAAGGTTTTGTTGCTGTCAACTGTTCGTCATGATTATACTGTTCTGTTCAAAGGAACAAATGTGCAAAAGAGGACAGAACAGAGCAGCGCTCAAAAAATGAAGCAGCGCACAATAAAACAGAACAAACAACAGAAACATCACTAACTCTGACTTCTCGAGCTATGATTGCATTTTTACACAACTAATTGAAAATTTTGTAATAGCTAGTAATAGCCATCGAGGTACCATATGAGAGCAATAGTTATTTTCAGGTTGGGTGATTCGATTTGTAAGTTTGCATGCGACAAGTTAAAATCTATCTGAATGGTTTATTGTTCCTTCGAATGTCGTCACAAAAATTGCATCAAAACGAATTCAGCAAACACACAGCAAGAACAAAACCAAATAACATACAAAAAACTGCTATTGAGAAGACTTTTATATACAAAAAAAAACATATACTCTCTAAGCGTTCGAAAAAAAGTTCATAATTGAATGAATAATTAACGGCCGATAAATGGTAAATAAATACAATTGAGACTGCAATCAGAAGCGGAAGACACGACGAGCAAAGGCCATCTCCAATTGATTAACTAAATGGGCAACTATTGAAACTCACTAATATTTTATTTTTTAGGATGGAGATTTATAGTTATTTCGCATTTTTGTCATTATTATTACTCTTACTGTTATTATCACTATTATATTATTACTCCTGTTGGTATTGACACACCATTCGGTTTGGAGAAAAAACTTCAAATTATTACCACTAATGATATCGTAGTTATTGCTTTTTTTTTTCAAAAAAATCAGTCTGGCCTTATGCTTTCAAATGAGAAGAAAATAAGAAGAAAATGAAACAAACAATGCAGAAATAAATAAAACACGAATAACAATCGTAATCATCACAAATGTTGCTGAAGATACTCGATACGGACAACTGTGAAGGCAAATGGGTGACGAACGCACAGCGCGAGATTCAGTCGGTATTTCATTTCTCAAGCTAAAACAATATCATTTGCGTCACCACTCCAAAAAAACCGCACTCTTCTGATTTGAAAAACTCAAATTTAAATACAAACAACTGATCACTGAAAGGAACGCAGACACATTAAGAGTTTATTTCATTATCGACAATTTCCTTGGAAAATATTATTATTATTACTACTCATTATGTAGTATTGATCACGGTGGATTATCAGCATCAACAATTTTTAAGGTGAATATATAACTTTTATGAAGCAATTTCATATCAATAGTTCTGCTTGGTTCAATGTGTTTCAGTTCAAACTCGTCTAACAAGTATATGATTCCTAAATATCAACTGTTTATCAGTTTACCTAAAGGAAAAATACCATTACATAATAGTAATATTAATAACAATAATAAAGAAATATAAACATTTGCATCGTGACAATGTAACGGTTCATACTAAAATGGCACCAATTTTAATGATCACATCATCAAACCATATCAAATCACGCACAGTGAAAATTTTTAAAAAAATAATCATTTGAACAACTATGATGCGTATCACATCGATAATTCATCATCAGCTTGTTATAAATTCACAGAGGTGCTCCCAAACCCTTACTTTCGTATGAGCATGTTGTGGACGATCACTTTCATTCAGCTCTCCTCGAATTTCTAGAGAATTAATTTATAACATCCAACGANCCATTCTGATATCAATTTGCCAACTTCTTCAACTCTCTCCTCCGCCCTCCTCCCTCTGATACTCTATAAGAAGGAATTTCCCCGTATTCAAGAACAACCCTTGATATCATGCTCGCATCATCATTCAACTGTTCAGTTTTTTTGCAGTTAATTCACTAAGGAGGAATGTTGCAATCAGTTCGCTTTTCGCTTCAATTCCAATCGCTTCCTATATTCGATCGATTCATTTATCAGAGCGCATTTCAGAAGCAACAGCAGTGACGCAGCAGAAAGGATAGTGATGCTACGAGGAGCATTCTGAAAGACGACTGATAAATGACGCTGGTAACAGCAAATACGATAAGATATGATAAAGATTATGATCGAAGAATGATGATAACTAGATGATCACTATGTGTGATTCACTTAATTTGATGGATACATTAACTGAAGTTAAAATACGAAGCACGGAACGTACCTGAGTGCAGAAATGATGTGCAGCACCGCAAAGTGCAGTAATGGCATCATTTTCTGCCCATCATAACTTTAGTGATAAAATTGACAACCGCTGAGGCCGGTTGTTCAGGCTCAAGTTCAGCGAACACATGACATGCGTTATCGGTGCGTGAGCCGATTTTACGTGCCACGAACGCAAACATCCTTGCACTCTTCACATAACTCGTCAGGCCTTCATTGATGATGCACGAATTATCCCATCTACAATCACCAAAACATATAATTAATTCACCAATAAACGTATTATATTCAGAATAACTATGCTATCATGTCATCATTCTGTGTGCTATGATGATAGTCTCAGTACTGCATTGATACCATAACGTAACATCGAATAGCAGAATTTAAACAAGGAAAAAAAAAATAAATACACACCTTCGGTCAGCCGGATCGATACCAGCGAAGGTAACTGACTGAACTGGATAGTGTCGTCTGAAGAAAAGTCGTCTTGTGTTGTCTGTTACAGTGACTCCTTGAGAAGATACCTAAATTTATCGATAAGAAGTTCTTGTCATTCAATTTAATCACATTTGATGTTGTGACTTAGACTCATATTGGTTGTTTTCTAACCATAACAATTGCAAAAAAAAAGAAAAATAAAGCGAAGAATTTCAAAAAAAGAAAAAGAGAAATGGTCAACAACAAAACGACAAAAAACAATACCTTGAAATGAACCGAGACCGGCTGAACCAATTTTTTGCTGTACAACTCCAGTGCATCACCAATACAACGTCGCACAGCTTCTGGACCCGTCAACGATTCAGTATCCAACGATGCTATATAGGTCACATTGCATGCTGAAACAGAGCAGTACCATTTGCAAGTGGTCGAATCTCTCGCTACAGCTGCTGCTTCAAGCAAATCATTCAATTCACTCAACAAAACCGATGGACTACTCAAAATTTTTATGCTATGAAACGATATGAAAACAACACCGCAAACCCCTTCTCAACAAAGAAGAGGAAGCTCTTCTGTTGTTTGTGCTTCGTTGTCAATCTTCAGTAATTCTTAGCACTCAGTCATAGAGTGCTAACAAATACTGTGGATAAGCAAAAAGAGATAGATGCCTGCCTACCTTTCTATAGGATCTCATCATCAAAATTGCCTGATTAATTAAGAATCTATAGAAATAGACAGGAGTCATGAAATAGAGCACATAAATGAATTGATGAATAAAATATTCAGAATTCCACCGATCGAATGACCAGTTTTGTTTTCAATCAATTGCTCTTCAGCCCTCTACTTCCTCAAATTCTGCTTTTCGGTCACGTAGTGGCAAAAGAAATATATGGTCGTCCCAGTGGAATATGGTTCGATATGATAACAAAAAATGGTCACAATTTTAAAAAAATCAATTATCATGAATTTACATGAAAACATCATCGAAAAGTTATTCAAAATATGCCTGATAATAAAAAAACATGGAGTCGATAAAAATTTCCCTACTAAGCTTGGGAAAATGCAACTGATTGCATTTAATTCATTTAATGAGTGAATGAGAGAGTACGAATGAAACTATTTGTACGTTTGAACAATCAGCAGTGACAAGCCGCAGCAGCAGTAGCAATGATCACATGAAACTGATTGATTTCTTATTGCTAAACGAATATAATAACTGAAAGTATCACTACACAAATAGATGAATAATAACAAATCTTTCATTAAACAACTTTCATAACGATGCGTCGTTTCATTTGATCATATTCATGTTTTACTGCAATAATTTAACGCTTGTCAGCTATCATATCGCATGTTGCAGTCATACTTAAAGAAGAAATCGCCTCGAACTGTTACTCAATATTCATCCGTAAAAGATAAAACGAACAAACCAGCGCCTTGCTGAAGAAGTGCTTGTGCAGCACTGATGTGTTCAGGTGTTGATGCAGGATCATAGTCGGGTAATAATAATTTGGTGGGTAGTGCGAGTGCGGTTATTGAATGTTGATAGACGAGTGCTGAGAGGGTACCAAAAATCGGTTCATTATTACAGCCTTTTAGTTTAACACCCTTTGGAGATGGCTCGATTAGAAAGTGACGCACCAATTCCGTACCATCACCTACAAAACAATATATTTATACCGAAGAAAAATGGAACGTCGTTTATATTCATTCAAATATTTGATTATTCTATATATATTACAGCATAATGCATGACTGTGGCATTAATAAGTAAGATTATAGCGGTAATTATAATAATGAGACATACTGCAAGAAGTATTTGTAAATAGAATGAAGGATGCCATAAATGGAATTACAAATCACGATTGAACTGACAAATGAGTGGTGAATGAGAATAATCAATAATGAATTAAATACGATTTGCTCATTGATAAGATATATGATCTATGTGAATAAATGTTTACATTACAGCAGCTGAAGCACTATCAGACGAATGAATAAGTTTTATAGATAGAATAAGTGAAATCGAACAAAAGCTCATCAGTTGATTGCTGTTAGCTGCAATATGACTGACGATTGAAGACGGAAGGAACACAGTTGTCGAAGTGTGCGATCGATGCGTCTTAGGTTTTTATCATATCCTGCACTCAACTACTTTATCATTAAACACTTTTGTTTACAGCATGATGAACAGAATATAGTGATACTATAGATCCAACCCAAGTAAACTCGACACAAAAAACGACTTTTGCAATGATTGATGCGATGAGCACGAATATATGTTTTATCAAAAGATAGATGACAACAATAAGAGAATAAAGCTTTAGCAATCTCTTATCGTCTACCCTGCTGTTTACAGCTTGAGACTGCAACAATATATGGATATGGTAAGAAACAGATGTGACAATGACATGAGATTCAATCTTCAGAAAATGTTATTGATATTTATATGAATTTAGATGTTAATAAACGTCAAAGTGAAATTGAAATAAATGAACATCAGCCGTTCGTACGAGCAAACCTGAATGAATCCCAGGTGGTGGTGTCGCAACTTTGAGTGCTAGACCAAATGCACCAGGGAAACTATTACTATCACGAACAACGAATGTTCCAGGCGGCTTATCCCTAAGCATATTAATCGCTGAAAAACGATATCCGTTCATAAATACAGAAACATAAACAATTGAATATCCTCATTCGGTCATTCAACCATCAAATAACAACAAATCAACTAATCAGTCAGTAAATCAATACGATTGATCTCATTTCGTTGACATAAATAAGTTTAGCATAAATCATGTTTAGCGAGTTGCTTTAAATCGCTGCTCTTAATCGCTTCTATAAACAGTACGCGACTCTTGGCTCACCATGCCTAATCTGCACTTTGCAACGATAATCCCATCCCATCGAAACATTTCAGCGCCACTGAATTCATTTAATTTAAAAAAATCTGTTTCAGTACTGATATACTGAACATCTTTGTTCATCTCCTATCTGGGTCATGCACACGCAAACAACTTGTGAACAACAATCAGTGCACCAGTGTAAATACGACAATATAGAACATTCACCTTCTTCTCTCGAGATCGTTGGTTTATACCAGTATTTAGAAGTATCCTTTACGAACACTGGATGATGATGAATTATGTCACCTGCTTCTGAAAGTTCATAACAGTACTCCAATCATAAAGTACACGAAAGTATCAAAAACAACAAAGCAAGTTCTTGTGCTCTTTCTAATGATGATTGTTTACTTCGATGAAACCTGTCATTATAATCGAATAATGGATACAGCTGAGGCATTATCAACTTGTTTGGTGTGAATGATATACAACATCTCTTACGTGGTTGTTGGTGTTGTTTTGTTATGATTTGTTCACATGAAACTGGGTTAGGATTGTTTGCAGACAACTTATTGCATTCAGGAAATGGGCTTGAAGCAGGACTACGTCGAGGAGAACATCTACTTGGAACATTTGATGATGATTGAGCATTGTTATTGCTAGTTGCATCGTTATCGGGATAGCGAATATTATTATGGGCATTATTCTTAGTATCAGCATCAGTTTTTGTGTGATTGTTACTATTAAGTAGAATATTTTTTGAGCAAGAAGAATCACTGAATAACGACGCGACATGATGCTTGGTGGATGCAGAATTGTCGAGTCGAAGTTCTTGATTAGAACAACATTGTGGTTTTATGATAGTATGCGCACTTGAAATAAACGCATCGCTAGTTGAGGCAATTGCAGGTGTGGATGAAGGTGAGCAAGACATGATCAGCAGTGTATTATGCACTGATCCATCCGATAGACTCACTTGTTAGATGGACAGATAGGTGCAAAGAAAACCAATTGATAGACTGAAGAGCAGTTCAGAATGATTATCAACGTTGACTTCGATGGTTAACTTTATTCCAAAAATGTTTATGGATGTATAAGGGATGAATAACTATAAAATATTTTATTGCCACTCAAATATTTAAAAAATATTGGCATGAATACGCATTATGAATGATACTAGAAATAACAACATGAATGTGTAAATATTCTTGAAGAGATTATATCATGTCAAGAAATGTGGCTGGTTGTAATGAAGAAGAGGGAGAGTGAGTGAAGGTTGTTCTATAGATAGATGAATGATGCATAGATGCGGAGCGCAGCTGACTTTAATAACGAATGCAAAAATGATTCGTTTAGAGTTTGGTGTGTTTCTGTTTCAGGGCGGAGTGCAGCATAGCAGTTACAGCTCAATTATGCCATTATTCTCTGCGTTCCTTCGAATTATTCCATCATAAAATCATCAGCACAACCCAACGACCGACCGACCGCCCACCTTACTTATGCTGTTTGTTAGCTCGTTCTCACAATGACCTTCTATTTATGTGTGTAATAT